GACCAAACCCTGGGGGAAGTGCTACTTTGCTTGTCCTTGGGCTACCTTTCAGACTCTCCCTTAGTCCAATGCCTTCCTGACCAACCCTGTAACCTCACCAAGGGGAGGAGTGTGCTCTGGCGCCCCTAGTGGTGGTGAAAGGCCTCCACAGGGCAGGAAAGAAGGAGCTACATAGCCTGCTTCTTTCAATTCATTTCTGCAATATTAATAACATGCAGCATGCAAGACAACATAGGCAATGCCAGGAACTTTAAAACCGAATTGAATTTCCCCAAGGAAAAAGTCACCAACTAGGAAAGTAGCCTCACAGATGAGAGTCCTATGGCTTAGCTCTGCTAGCAAGTGTTGGCTCTGAAGAGATTAGAACACATGATCAGGGGAAGCGTCCCTGAAACTACAAGAAAGTAAAAGGAGGCAGGAGTCCTAAGGCATTGACTGGAAGTGTGAGGAGCAGTAGGAAAGGCATTCCAGGCAAGAAGAGCAGAGGCTGGAATTGAGAGGTCGTCCTGATGGTAGGTACATAGCCAGGGGTGGACCATGAGGCTGGAAGGGAAGCCTGAGGGGGCCAGTGCAGAACTGTGAGCCTCAGATATCAGGCACATTCTCTGGTAGTCAGTGACACCACTGAAGATAATTCACCAGGCTAGGTGATGTTGTGGGAGAATAGGGCATAGACTGCCAGGGAAGCTCTCCTGGCTCTGCCATCATGAGCTATGGGGCACTGAGCAAGTCATTTATCTCCCTGGGCTTCTTTGAAATAGGGATGTGAATAGAACCTTTCATTCAGGGAGGTTGCAAGGATCACATAGAGCTCTGGCATGAAGCATGCTTTGGTAAATGTGTGGTAAATTTTAGTTCCTGCTCAGCCTCCTGGGTATTATCAAGCTACTAGTAGAGGTTGGGATAGCAAGAAGGAAAGTCTTTCTGAAAGCAGGAGGAGCCACAGACATGGTGGTCCAAGTCCCCTGGCCAGCCTGGAACCCCCTTGGTGACCTGGGAAGGAAGCAGAGCATTATTTGGTGGCAAAGAGCTCATGGCCTCTATATGTTCCCTGTCAGGGCAGGTCTGAGTGTGCAGGTACATATGTCTAAATGGTCTGATGAGTAAGCCATGAGGCAGGGATAAAATCCCCAGTCCTGACCATCCAACAGAGCATTCCTGCTGCCCCAGCTGGCCGCTTCCCCAGCTGAAATCCCCAGGCAGTGTTCACTTATCCAGACCCAGCTTGGGTCCTCTCCTGCAAGACCTCTGTCTTCTCATCTGAAATATCCAGGTCAAGAGCTCCCAAGTCTTGTGAGTGCCAGGCCAGGGATTTAGCCTGGGGGCCACTTACCTGCAGGGAAGTATCATCAGAAGACAAGGCACTCTGGCACCTGCTCCAGCCACAAGCCTACTGGGTTGCTCAGCTCAAATGGCCTGCCCACCTCTCTAGGATAAAGTCATAAGATCCTTGAGAATGGGAAGGGGGATCATTTGTTGGGTAGAAGTACAAGGTTGGGGTCTGATAGATAAACATTGAATCTTGCATCTACCAGCTTTGTGTTGCAATCTTGGTTTCTTTTTCTACAAATGAGGAACAATAACACCCACCCAAGGAGGCAGTTGAGAGAGTTGAATGAGGTATAAAGTATGTCATGCACTTGGTTGATGCTAGGTCCTGCATATTTCAGGGGCTTAATAAATGGCACCTTTACTTACTCAGGAAGCATTTATTGAGCACCTGGTAGCTGCTGGGCCCTATCTCAAGCTCTGGTGATAGGAACAAAACCCTTAGGAAGCTTGCAGTCCATTGGAAGGAGACAGATAAGTAATCAGACAAGCTCAGCAGTGTAAGAAGCACAATGCTTGGAAGAACAGGATGTTTGGGGGGAACTGGGGAGATGGTGGGCAGGGGGAGAGCAGGAAAGGCCTTCTGGATGAGGAACTATCTAACTGAAATATGAAGAGAAATCAGCCAGGTTTGGGGAGGGGCCAGGATGGAAAAAAGTGTTCCAAGCAGGGGAGAAGTCACTTGCTGTATGTTAGGTCCTTAGGGCAGAGCTGGAGATAGGTGTCAATGCCCTGGAGACGCCTCAGTTTTTTCTCCTCCACCTTATCCCTGCTGCTCTGCAGGCCCAGGGATAACAGGTCTGGGTGTTTGTCCACTGTGGCTTCCATCCCCGTACAGTGTGAGGGCCTTGGGCTATGGTGGTTAATAGGGCCCATGTCCTGACCCCTCAGCCTAAGAGAGGTCTCAGGGCCTCTCCCCAGGAGGGCAAGTTCCTAACAAGGTGCCTGAGAAATATAGGTGAATGGAGGAGGAGCAGTCTGCTTGGAAGTGTGCCACTCACTGCAGGGGGCACCAGGGCACTTGGGCTCCTTGGGCAACCACAGTAGGGCTGAGCCCAGGAAACCTAACTGGGTCCTGTCCTCTGATCTCTCTCACCCTTCTCTCCTTTCCGTTTTTTTTTTTGGTTTTGTTTTTCTCTCCCCCCCCCCCCCCCCCCCCGCCCTCTGTCTTTGATTCTGGGGAATTGAACTCAGGGGCACTCTACCTCTGAGCCACATCCCCAGCCCTATTTTGTATTTTATGTAGAGGCAGGGTCTCATTGAGTTGCCTAGCCCCTCACTTTTTTGCTAAGGCTGGCTTTGAACTCACGATCCTCTTGCCTCAGCCTCCTGAGCTGCTGAGACATGTGCCACTGAATCCGGCTCCCTTCTCTCTTTTCTGCATAGACTAAGAATCTGCTCTGCCTTGGGAAAGGACTTTGACATATTTTCAAAATAAAGTTGAGAGTAATCTCCTGAGGGGAAGAATAAATAAGTTTTAAAAATGCAAAAGGAAATGTGTTATTTATTTATTTTTCATGGTGGAAAAAAATGCAGGGGAGGGCCTCAGCAGGCTCCCTTGAGTGAAAGTTTCCAGCCACAGTGACAGAAGGTCACAGAGACTTTAGGGAGATAGGGACACCTGGGGAGTGAGGGGTGGGCTCTGGTCCAGATTCAATATGAGTTCAGCTAAGAGGTAGGGCCAGGCTCAGTATGCCACTGTCAGGGATCAGTACAGCTGGGGGAGGGGACAGTGACAATGCAGTCCTGAATCCTCCCTCCAGCTGAGGACAGCTCTGCTAGGGGAGCCAGGCAGTCAGCAAAGGACCACTGGCAGGGGACCTGCCAAATGTCATAACAAAAAGTCATGAAAAAAACTTTTTTCATATCCAAAGAAGTGCAGAGAAGCCAGAAGGGGAGGGTTCACTGTGGAGTTGTGGGGGCCTCAGGGGGGTATGAGAGCCCCAGGCTGTGATGAAGGTCTTCAAGGTGAAGGGTTAAGTTAGACTTTGAAGCTCAGCCAGGATTCAGTGAATGGAGATGGAACAGAGGCCTTCAGGGAGGGTGAATGGTATGAGCAGAGGTGCAAGGTGGGCAATCCCATGGTACTTTGAGAAACGGGGATGTTCAATTTTCTTAAACATTTATTTATTTACTTCACAGTCACATGCCATACAATTCACTCACTAAATGGGCAGTTTACAAAGTTGTAATAATCAATACCACAACCATTCATAGAACGATTAAAGAACATTTTCGTCACCCAAAAAGAAACCATGTACCCATTAACATTCACTCCTCACCCGCTTATTCCCCCTTATCCCAGGCAACTACAGATCTACTTTTTCTCTATGGATTTGCCATTCTGTTTTTCATATAAATAGAATTTTATGATTTGTGACCTTTTGTGTTTGTTTTCTTTCACTTAGAATAATTTTTTTTTTTAAAAAATTGAAATTGTAGATGGACAGCATGCCTTTATTTTATCTATTTCATTTTTATTTGGTGTTAAGGATAGAACCCAGCACCTAACACATGCTAGGCAAGGGCGCTGCCACTGAGCTGTAGCCCCAGCCCTAGAATAATATTTGAAAGTATGGATCAGTACTTTATTCCTTTTTATTTGACTTAATTAATTTTTATGGTTGAATAATATTCCTACATGAATACAATATGTGGTATGTGTTTATCACATTTTGTTTATCCATTTATTAGTTGGTGGACATTTTCCACTTTGGGGCTATTGGGAATATATTGCTATGAACATTTGTGTGCAGATTTTTGTATGGATGAATGTTTTCAGGACATTCCAGTTTGAGTGAAGTTTAGGACAGTTGCGGGGCAAGAGAAGAAAAAGGATGAAGCTGAGGGACCTGCCCAACTGGTTCCTAGTCTGAGGGCGAGGGTGGGAGTGAGAAGGGTGGAATTTAGGACCCTGTTCTAGCGTCACTGGGAGCCAGGGGTGATTCAGGGCCCCAGCAGGGCTGCCTGGCTGCTCACCAGCCTGCACTGTTGTGTCTGGACTGGTAGATATTTGCAGGGCTGGAAACAGTCTGGGGCACTTGGTATTTTCCCTGGAAATCAGGTGCATTTTATCCTGTGACCTGCTGAGACCCAAAATTAGTTAAACACATGGAGAAGTATGGGCTGCACAGTTAGTCTGGGGGGAGGGGGGAGTCTTGTCAACAGGAAGCTGGCTGGCCCCAGGGAAAGAGGTGGTCAGGAAGCTCAAGGTCAATAAGCCAAATATAAACCACCACCAAGCCATGCTGCCCTGCCCCCATGGCACTTGCAGCAGAGGTGGCTTTGTTTATAGGAAATGCTGCGAGCATCTTGTTGACCCTTTCTGACAGATTGGGCAACAGAGACACTGCATTAAAGGAATCTGTCATTCAGAGAGAGGAAGGAAATTAAAGCTGAATTCTCTGGTCTGCTATGGGCATCTGGTTTGGTAAAACCCAGGCCTTACCCTCAACACTCTGCCTGTTTTTGAGCTCACAGAAGACTGAGGACACAAAAACAAGAGTTGTGCTATTTTAGTCTCCTAAAAAAGAACAACAAACTCCACCCCAAACCCCAAAGCAAAAACAAAAAACAGGGCTTTAATCACCATCTCTTCTTCCTTCTTTTTTCTTTTTTGTTTTTCTTTCTTTTGTTCTCTTTCTCTCTCTCTCTTTTCTTTTGTTCTCCAGCCAGAAAACATTATGTTATTAGACAAGAATATTCCCATTCCACACATCAAGCTGATTGATTTTGGCCTGGCTCACGAAATAGAAGATGGAGTTGAATTTAAGAACATTTTTGGGACACCAGAATTTGTTGGTAAGTTGTAGGCCTGTTTCTCTCCCAGAGAAGAATCAAAATATAGAGAAGTCCTGGAAACAAAGCTCGAGTCTGAGGCTGTGGCCTCTGGGCTAAGAGAGGATGCTGTGGGACACCCACTAGAAACCTAATGGGAGTGGGGGCAGATATCTTGTTTGGGTCTGGGTGAGAGTCCAGGTATAGGCTTTGAGCACCCAATGGGACAGGGAGTGACCAGAGAGGACCTTCCAGAGTTGAATCCTCCCAGAACTGGCTCTACCTCTTGCTCCTAGATGAGTTTATCACATATATTTAAAATCACCTTGCTCTCTTGCATTCCCACAAACTCTGCCTTCCATGAAGTAGCTTTTGATTTCCTAAAAAAGAAAAAGACAATTGTTTTCAAAGTCCCAGATCCACCTACCTGCCTCTTTTGTGCCCACCTTTATTCATGCTTGCGGTACCTGGCTCCAACAGGACCCTGGATGCCCTCTTCCTTCTGTATCTCTTTCCCTTGGTCCAGGCCCTACTTTCCTGTACTCCAGAAGCCTTTTCATGGGGCTTGGGCCAAAGGTTGGGGAATCACAAAGAAATAGTCCTGTAGAGAGGAAAGGAATGGGAATTGAGAACCTACATCTATCTTTCTGCTTCGACTATCTTTCTGCTTCCGGGGTTGGAGAGGTCTTGGGTGTGGTCTCCTCAAAACCTGGGAGCTAAAAATTCCTGACTACAATCTAACCAAAAAGGAAGGCAGGCTGCGGGTGTAGCTCGGTGATAGAGCACTTGCCTAGCTGTTATGCTCGAATTTGGGACCCCCAAAAGACCACCAGAGGCTAAGATCAATGTAAGCAGCAAAGAGGTGTTGATTGCGAGCTAGCTCGGTCCTCCGCGTGCACACACAGCAACTGGTGACGCTGAGAGGCCCGAACCCAGGGTTTGCATCATTTTTATGTATGTGAAGTCCCTGCATTCTCTGGGGAAGGCAGGGACTTCACATACATCATAGCATCTCTTAGCAAATCAGCACACACCGGGGGAAAATCATAAAACAACTCTAAAACATGATTAGCACATTCACTGGCGGGAACAGGTGGGGTAGGGGTGATTGGTTACTACAAGAGGGGGATTCGTTTGAACTGATTGGTTTAAGCCAAGAGGGGTGTTTGTGGTGAACCACATGGTTTCCCAACATGTTGTCAACCACTATAAAGTACTGGGAGGGTCATCTGGCATCCCAGGTATTTCCCTGTCTAATGCTGATTGGTGGCTGCTAGGGGGTTGCTATGGATCCCCACCTAGCCTGGCTGAGTCAGGGACACCTGGCGCAGCAGATCTCTTCTGGTATTTGTAGATAAACAACTCATCAGGGTGGGTAAGTGCCTAGGAGTGTTCTGTGGGTCTTTCCAAGGACAAAGGTCACGCCCCCTTCCTTGGACAGGCTTTGCTTTGAGGTAGAGGCTGGTTTTTCATAGCATGCAAGAGGCTGTGGGTTCAATCCCCAGTACCACCAAAAAAAAAAAAAAAAGGAAGAGAGAATATGTTAGACCTTCCACCCTGAAGGACTCCAGCCTTCATATACCAGCTATGCAGCCACTATGGAATGGTGCTGCAGAGACTCACCCCTGGCTCCCCAGACCCCAGGACAGGGAACCCTGACTATATGCCAGGCACCATGCCTCACACTCTGCAGACTCTGTCTTATTTAATCCTCAGGTGGCCTCATGAAGCAGATTAAATTATTTTCTCCATCAGGTGCCTTCTTTCAGACAACACAAGCAGTAGGTGGTGGCAGTAGATTCAAATACTGATAAGTCAGCATCAAAGCTGGTCTCTTTCTATTATACCAGGGTCACTCTGAGAAGACCCTGCTCTCAAGGAGTTTCCATTTAGTTGTGGATGTAAGACAGTAAACCACTAAATAAAAGTGCTGGAAGGATCTTTTCAGATCATCTGGTCTAGTTAAACAAATGTGGAAATGGAGGATTGGGGAATTTTCATTAAGGAAACCAAAGTTGTTCTTTACCTCTGGTATGACAGATTTTAGGTAAGGTATGGGAGACACAGTGATGATAAGGAGCCAGCCACCCTCAGAATGACATATCCAAGGTCACAGGTTGGTGGGAGAGCCAATTGGAACCTGGGGAACAAGATATGTAGACTCAAACTTTGTCTAAGAGAACAGTTGCTGCCCACCATTCACATATGTGCTTGAAGGGCATATATTTTCATTAGTTAAGTTCATGTAAATTTTTCAATAATAGTCAATAGTTCAACTAGAAATTCAGGGCCATAATGGAAGCCAGGATGTGATTAATTGTAAAGTAAGTAATGTAGATAGCTCTGGAAGACTATTCAGAGAAGATATCCACTCTGGCACAGTCAATGGGATTGATCATGGTCTTGAGTCAGTGAGGGGCAAAAAACGATGGTTGGGGGTGGGGAGAAATCTGAAGTAGTTGGAAAAGAGAGCCAGAATAGAGGAGAAGGAGCACAGCCAGTTCAGTGGTAGCATAGCAGGGGGGAAAGACTAAAATAAGTGCTTTAATTAGGGACAGGTCAAAGTCCACTCTGCATAGAGTTGATTATTCATACCAGATTGTTGGTGTGAGTGGGCTATTGGTAGCTGGAGCCAGACTTTGGAGGTTTTTGCCCAGTGGTATGCAAATGTCTAACAACCAAATCTCAAAAATGAGTCTCTAACTTATAACATTAGCCAATTTCAAGCTACCAGCATGTCATTGAATACAGAGTCCGAGGAGATGCACACAGTTATTTCTTACACCAGTATGGTTTTGTTTGTGATGGGTTTATTTGTATCTTATAGATTTATAGGGGGACTTTTCTAGGCCCTTCCCTGAAATAGGGTGACTTTATTTTCTCAAGACTCCTGAGAAACAGGTTATAAACACTTTGCCTTGCACCCACCACCCATTTGAAATTTCAACCTAAGACCCAGGAATAAAAAGTCTACAAAATCAGGAACAACTGCCAGTAGTTTGGGGGAATCAGGTGTTAAAAAGGCCCTCTAAGTACATGACTGGATCCATGGAAGACATTTTCTTTTGAATACAATTTATAGGAAATAAGAGAGTTGTAAGCCCTTCAGCATGACCCACCCCCAATGAATTGAACTTAAGAGCTGAGATTCAAGCAGCAAGAAAATTCAACAGGAATTTTCTTTTCTTCTGACCTCCCTTGAAGGCAAATGTACATGTCAACAATGCAATCAAAGGCTAGCAAGGTATAGATGTTCAAGGACAAAAGATAACTGAAATTACCAGATGATGACTATGAAATAAGTGGAATGTATACAGAAATAAAAGATGGAACCACAAGAATGAGTAAGGAACACGAGGTGTCAAAAATGATCAAGCAAATTTTTGAAAAAATCAGAGAACTTTAAGAAATTCCATATATAGTCATGTGTCACTGTCTGTCCTGGACGTTACTTTAGGAAGAGACCATAAAAATCAGCTACTCAAAAATGATCATAGTTTGGATGTCAAAGCAATGTCAAATTGCTGTAAGAGTCTCTAAATGCATACTTCCAATTTCTGCACCTATCTTCTTGGACCTGTCTGCAGATTCTTTGTGGATCCCATGGTGAAGACCATGGTCCTAAGAAAGTTTTTCACATACTTACCCCAACAGAGCCGGGAACAAAAAACGTTTTCAGCAATATTGTTCCAATAATGAAAGTAATGGAAACCATCCAAATGGTCTCTAAGAGGAGAATGACTGAAAAGTGATACATAGTTACACAATGGTTTATTGCACAGTAGTGAGAATGGAAGAGGTGGATGAATGTGCAATGAGTAGTAGAAGCATGTAAAAGGCAATCAAATGACAACAGATCACATGCAGCATGACACCATTTTTATAAAGCTAAAAATAAGCAAAGCCAGGATAGTGATTATCTCAAAACAGGGGCAGTAGGAGAGTGGGAGGGCAGACATAACCCTGTAGATGGGATGCTTTAAGATATTTTCTAGATAGATTTAGCTTTTTCCACTCTGCCTCTGTCCTTCCTCCTCCTCAAGGTACTGCCTTCTCTTTTGCCTCCACTCATTGCCAACCTTTTAAAGAATCATCAATGCTCTATCTCCTCTTCCTACCTTCTGGAGACACTGGGTGCTGTGAACTTGGAGCTCAGCACTCACTCTCCAGTGCTTATCTGCTCCATCTCCAGGCTGCCTGTGGTCCACTCCTCTCCTGGCAGTCTTCTCTCCTACTCTACACTGTCACCACAACATTGGCTCAGCTCTTGTTTCTTCATGTACTTCAATGACTCCAGATGTGATGGCCCAGACCTCCTCCTCCATAGCCATCTGCCCCCTGGACATCTTCCCTGGCTGCCCCTCAGGCACCTCAGGCTCAGCATCTCATCTTAGTGACCACAAGGATGCCCTCAGTGGGATGTCCTTTCTTTTTGCCCAGACTCAGGGAAAGGTGGAGTCCTCTCTGCCTTCTTTTCTTCCCATTTCCTTCCAGCACTGACTGGTGTCCACTAGAGAGTTCTATAGCAGGGCTCCATTTCTCCTTCCTCTCCCCTTGTTCCTTCTCCTTTTCAGGCTTTCTTTACATGCTTTCCCTCTCCTTCACTATTAAGGCCTGCCTATAGAAGGTTTCTACCGGAATAACAGGTACCTTGTGACATAGTCTGTCTGAGATGCTATTAAGAAATGCCTTAGACTTGGTAATTTATAAACAACAGAAATTTAGCAATCATAGTCCTGGAGTCCGGGAAGTCTAAGATCAAGGTGCCAGCAGACTTAGTGTCTTGCTGTGTCCCCTCATAGCAGAAGGACTGAACAAGCTCCCTCAGGTTTCTTTGAAAGGGCACTAGTTCCATTCATGGGGGTCCTGCTTCCATGACCTCCTCACCTCCCAGGGGCCCCACCTCTTTTATATACTTGCACCAGGGATTAGATTTCAACATGTGACCTTTGGGGGGACACAAATATTTGGGCCATACTTTTTTCCTAAAATTCTTAGATACAGATTATTTCCATCTGCTGCTCAGATTTTCCTAAGAGTTAGGATGAAGACATTTAGCAGCAGATTCCCTAGAATTCCCTACAACTATCTCCTCTCATTTATTTCTCCTCTTGACTTCTTTCAGCTCCAGAAATCGTGAACTATGAGCCCCTGGGGCTCGAGGCTGACATGTGGTAAGTTGTACAGGTCACTCAGGTGGCCTAGGGATCCTTCCAAGGGCAGAAGTCCTCAGAACCTGCTTTGGGTGTCATTCCCTTGACTGTGAGAACTCTCTTCTCCACATTCACCTCTTAGAGCCTCAGGCTGCTCCAGGTGTTCTGCTGCTGCTGGAAGCAGCAAAGCCAGGTCCTGAGGCCAGTTAGTGCATGGCCAGGTCATGGCTCGGTCAGCTGCAGAGAAGCAAGGGGAGGGGCAGGGCCGGAGTGTAGCTTAGCCCTGGACTGCCACGGCCATGGTCAGGATAACAGTAACAGTGGCTCATTTGGGCAGTCCACCAAGTGTATAACAAGTGCCTCCCTCATCCTGGGCACTGTGTTGGCCTAGGGGTGCTGCTGCTGTCAGTCCTCTGCACATGCAGGACTCTTTCATTTGAATGCTGCTGGACAGTAGGCTGAGCACTTGGCCTTTTAAAATCCTGCCTGCAGTCCTGTGAGATAGTTCTCATTATCTTCCTAATATAAGAAAAAAGGGTCTCAGAGGTGGTGAGAGATGTGCCCAAATCACAGAACCTGCAAGTGCAGAGATCAGATCTTGAACTTGGGTCTTTGATCTCCGTGTGCTGAGCTCAATCACTCTAAATGCATCCCAGGCTGCTGCTGAAGAGTGGGATGGAGAGGGGTTTCGGGATGCCTGGAGGAGGCAAGTGACCTCTTCTCCTGGGACCACATGGGGAGTCCCTTGCTGGTCTGAGTTGGAGGCAGGAGGTCCTTACTTGACTGTTTTCTGTTTTGCAGGAGCATCGGTGTTATCACCTACATCCTGTGAGTATCCCTGATTCTGGGGCTCCAACCCAGCATAGACTGTGGGGTCCTAAGAGGAATGAGAGAGGGGCAGGTAGAAAGATGTACTGAGCATCCATCTACCAAGAGCCAGATATGTTAAGTCCACAGAGCAGACCTGAGACTGAGTGCTCTGAGGTGTTTCATACATTTAACCCTGGCATTGAGTTTGAGCAGGAAGCCCGGGGAGCAGCCCTCCCTCCTGCACAGGCCATGTCTGCATTCCTGTGTGGAGTGCCAGGCCTCCCCTGCCATGGGAATGTAGTGGTTAAATAAGCCAACATGTGCCAATTCCCTAGTCCCTGCTCTGGTGCATGCTTGGCAGGTGCTTAGGTATTCAGTCCATCAGTGCTACCCAATCATCTTCCCCTCACAGCATACCTGGAAAATGCTATTTTTATGGCCCACTGCAGTGAGAGTCAGCCCATAGCCAGAGGGAACAGGGTGGTACCAATGCTCCAGGACTGAGGGATCATTCTCTCTACGCCCCCATAAACCAGCTTTCTGACTCACAGCAGCCCTTAGACTGAGAGCTCTGCACAATAACAGTGGATTCCCCTGAGCTGCAGCAGAGGGTCTCAACCCTGGCTGCACTGTCAAGTTTTCAATACCTACCATGGCCCAGGCTCACCCCAGATCTATATAAATTAAAATTGCTAGGGGTAGGACCTCTGCATCAGTAAATTTTTTAAAACCCACTTGAATTTGATAGAGAGGGCTTTGATGGAAAGAGAGGCTGAGCATCACTTTGTGTTGATCTGTAATACTGGATGACAGCCAGGATATTCAAACGTCGTCTCTTGAAATCTGAGTTTCTCCAAAACTCCAGTTCTCATACTGAACAATTAAGGAATTCCAGCATCTGCAGGGCACACGATTGGCTCACTTGAATTCAACACAGCTTTATCATTGGCTGGCACCATCATGGGCATTGTGCCAGGCAACAGGACATGGACGTGAAGGAGAGCCTTCCTTTCTTGCCTGGGGCTCTCTGTCTGAGGGAAGCACACCATACAGCTACCTCTCACCCACAGTGACCAAGGTCACTTCTTCATGTCAATTATGTGAGATAGAGGCTGCCATTTTCTTCATTTTACAAATCAGGAAACTGAAGCTCAGAGAAGTTAAAGAACTTACCATGGTTCACACAGCTAATGCTTAGCACAGCTGAAATTCAAACCCAGCATTGAAATAGCCAAAAATACAAAAAGTTATTTCTTGCTCCTAAATCTATGCATATTTTCTATTCTTTTCTTGTCTCATTGTTTTATTGTCTAATATCTGTAGTACTAGATTGAATACCAGTAATGAAAGGGAACATTCCTGCCTTACTTCCAATTGTATGGGGAAATCATCGATCTATTTATAATTATATAAATATGTTACATACATAATGTAATATTCTTTGTCAATTGAGGATTTTTCAATTGATAAATTCTTTATCATTCTTATCAATTGAGTATTCCTCTATTACTATTTTCTGATTATTATTTTTTATCATGAATAACACTGGATTTACTGGATTTTGTATAGTATTTTTGCATAATTTGAAATGATCCCTGTTTTTTTTTAGTTTATTGTTTTAATGGATTACTTAATTGCATTTTGAGTCTTAAACATCCCTGGCATATTTGGAATAAATGTCACTTTCTCATGGTGTAAAAATAAAATATCCAAAGTTTTCCAGTATACCTTGCTACTTCCATGCAAAGAAAGAAGCAGGGGGAGAGGGGTAAATATTCAAGGTTTGTTTAGTAAACAGAAACAATAAGACTTTTCGCCAATCAAGTAAGGAGGGACTTAAAAGAGACCAAGGTGACATCACTGCTGTGTTTCTAACGAGCATCACTTCACATTTGTGAAGCGATGTCATTGATCAAAGCAAGGAGCACATGGAGGGGGGTTTGGCACAGTGAGTCCTGGGAAAATGGCACATCTGGGCCGACGTGTCCCATGAGCAACTGAAATGCATGTCAAGAGATGGTAGCTTCAGAAGTCACTGTTTGTCTGATGCAGCCTTGAACAACCCTGTGGGGACCCCACAGACCCCAGTCTCCATGCCTCTTAGGATTTGCTCAAGTTGTTCCCTTGGCCTGAAAGAGCTTTTCATCTCCTCCTCCGACTGCTGTCAATTCTTCAAGACATGACAGTGCAATTGTCAACTCTCCCATGGAATTGCACTGGGCCCCCCCCTTTTTTTTGGTGCTCCCATAGTCTTTTATCTGGCTTTCAATAATTTTCTGCTTTGTTCTGCTGGGGTTTATGAAGAGCTATGTCTGTTTTTTCTTTTTTCTCCTCTCAACTTTTGTGTCCACTAAGACACAGTTTGTCCTCTGTAAAGTACTTACTAGGAGTTCCATAAAATGTGTTGAATTGGACTGCATTGAAAAAGCTGTGGGTTGGCTGCCCAGAGAGGGCAGGCTGTGTTGCCAGGAGCCTCCCAGCCTTGTGCTATAGCATGGGTCAAGTTTCCCGAGTCCATTTCCATCTCCAAACCCGCAGTCATGTGGTTCCTTCTCTGTTGTATGCAGCCTCAGTGGAGCATCCCCTTTTCTGGGAGACACAAAGCAGGAAACACTGGCAAATATCACAGCAGTGAGTTATGACTTCGATGAGGAATTCTTCAGCCAGACTAGCGAATTGGCCAAGGACTTCATTCGGAAGCTTCTGGTTAAAGAGACCCGGTAAGAAAAAAAGAAAGGCACTGGTTTCTCAGGTACTAATCCTCTCCTTTTACCACAGTCAAAGATGTCAGTCTGTCTTTGCTTTGCCACAGCGTCACCTGCACCATTGTGGTCTAATCTGAGCAGGTGCTAAGAAACATGACTGGCCAAGACTTGACATTCACCTTGTTTGCTCAAGTCTTTCTGCTTTCTTCTACTGAAATGCCAATAACTGTGTGTATATGTGAAAATGTGTGTGTATGTGTATGTGTAAATCAGTCTTTGTTTTTTAAGACTCATTACCTCGTATAGTCTGTCCCAAAGGCACTCAATTAGAGAAATAAAGTAGCAGGGTTTTCAAGCCAGTTCAGGTGGGAGTGGAGGAGGCAGGCCCAGAGAGGTCAGTACAGTGGAAAGAGAGGAGACACACTAATCCTACTCCTGCCTCAGAGCCCAGAATGAGCCCCATACCTGTGGGGTCAAAGGAGGACATGGGCAGGGAATGTAGGGTGCTGGTACCCAGGGGAGGGCCTGGATGGAGCAGGGGAAAAGGGCCACCGATGCTAGAAAATTATGTCCTTTTGGTCCCACAGACTTCAAAGAGGGCCAGAGTGGTACTAGGTACTAAGGTCAGTACTAGGGAGGGCCCCCCTACCTGGGAATAGAACAGCGAAGGACAAAGGAGGGACCTGGGAGGCAAACAAAGACCAAAGGTTTAGCAATGGAGAGCTGGCTTTTGGAGGATTCTGGAAACTCAGTAGTGCATTTAATGACTCCCCTAGAGGGTGGTGTTAGGCCTTTTAACTTTGGAACTGAAGGTAAGGGTTCAGGTAGAAAGGTCTCTCTGTTTGGGTTCTGCCCAAACCTCTTTCCTGGGAGCATGGGGCATGCAGGCAGTTCCCATCAATCTCTGCATCTTCCATTATGATGGCATGGCCAAAGAATGCCAAAAGAGTGTGAGAATGGAGACTGCTGCTCCCAGATTCTGCCCTAAAGGATCATCACTGTTTCCTAATCCTCATTTCAGGAAACGGCTCACCATCCAAGAGGCTCTCAGGCATCCCTGGATCACGGTAAGGGCACGGTGGTGAGTTCCAGTGAGCAGGGGTCTTTGCTCTGTCACCAGGGCTGGCTGTGGCAGCCAGATGCAGAAGGCCTGTGGAGAGCCTTTTGCTGGAAACACCAATCCTTGGGCACAGAAGATAGCTTGTCATGGGCCCCAAGGGGCCTGACCATTTTCAAATAGGGTTATGCTAAATGAAGTTTGTATTTCATGGGTTCAAACAGCTTATAGAATGAAACCCTGACTTTGTAACCTTCTTCTCTGACATTTGGGGCTCAAAGGATATGCTTTACATCAGTTAGCTGCTTTCCACAGGCACCATGAGACCTCAGGAATTAGCCTCTGAGACAGAAACCTGGTAGGAAGAGAGACTGCCATCCTGTTAGGGGAGTTCTGTTCCCTTTGGGAAGGGCCAGGGGGAAAGGTCAATCTCTCCCTAACTTGCCTTGTAACCAAGCTCCAACTGCTGGTTTTTCAGAGGGTCTCGCAGTCTGGTATAGTGAAAAGCTTTTGGGGAAAGAGGGACTCATAGACCAGTACTCTGTTGACTGACTAGCTGTGAACTTCCAAGACTTCTTATTCACCTTCATTGTTAAAAAAGAAGGCTTACAGGAATGATCTGAGCGTGCAGACAAGAAGGGTAGAGGCCTATAGATGATGGGGAGTAGAGAGGGTTGGAGTGATCAGGGGGATCAGGTTCATCTGCTTGTTGAAGGATGGGGAAGATCAAGGGTCCTCTTGCTGAGCATGCTCAGTTTTGCCAATATGCAAAGAACCCCAAAAGAGAGACACCCTCTGCCTCCCTCTGCCTCCCTCTGCCAGCCATGGCCTTGCCTGCTCCAGCCCTGGAGTGGATGTCTGCAGAATCCTGACCACAGCCCGCTTTTCTGCCTGAGCCCCTTTAAATGCTGTGCGTGTGGAAACCCTCTAATGGCTGTGGACCCCTCCGCCCTGAAGGGAGCATGCAGGGAGCATTCCCATACCCTTTGACCTTTCTTATGGACTGAGGGGTTGCTCACTCCACCTGGGCTCTCCCTGTGTCCTGACGCATGCATTGAATGCCAAAGAGACCACCGTGTGTGCCTTCCACCTGCAGCTTGGATTGCCCTTTGGAGCATGCATTATGTTAACATTGTGGTTCTTCTGTCTGAACAACTGCCAGTCGAAGGGAGAAGTCAGAGCTCCTGAGCAGCGGAAGACACAACCCATTGAGCTGAAGACCAAGCGTCTGAGAGAGTATACCCTCAAATGCCACTCAAGCATGCCCCCCAACAACACTTATGTCAACTTTGAGCGTTTCGCCCATGTGGTAGAAGATATGGCTAGGGTGGACCAGGGATATCGTGCCTTAGTGGGGGCCCGTGACACTCTCCAGGATGATGTGGAAACCCTGGTCTCCATCTACAATGAGAAGGAGACTTGGTACCGAGAAGAGAACGAGAGTGCCCGGCACAATCTGTCCCAGCTCAGGTATGAGTTCCGCAAGTTGGAGTCCTTGAAGAAGCTCCTGCGAGAAGACATCCAGGCCACAGGGGCTAGCATTGGAGGTGTGGCCAGGAAACTGGACCATCTGCAGACACAGTTTGAGGCTCTGAGGCAGGAGCTCTCAGCCGACCTACAGTGGATACAGGAAATGATGGGCAGCTTCCAGTTAGAGAGTGGGGACACAGATGGCTTGGGAGCCATGTTCCACCAGGATGCCAGTGAATCCCTATCGGAGCTGCTCAGCAGACCACACACACAGGAAGTCCTCGCCAGCCTGAAGCTCTGAGCACTAGAATCCAGTCAATAAAGCACTTTCCCATTCCCCTGCCTCCGCTTCCAGCTAGAATCATCCTGTAGGGAGTATATCTGTAGGGCAGCTTTCCACCCCTCTCCAAAGAATTGACAGTTGCCGAGGTGCTGGTTAATTATTAATTCCACACCTCCTCTCACCAACCTGGATTTCTCAGAGAGCGATGGCAGAGCAGCCAAGCTGTTAAAACAATTAGAGAACAAATTCCCCTCACCATACCCTTTTCCACAGGGAGTACAGCACTCCTTGGGGAGATGCTTGAGAATGGATTTGTGGTGATGGGTTTGTTCACCTCTCTCTTCCCACCTACATGCCTTATGATTGCAGATCTTGAGTGATATTTGAGTTAACTAAGGATAACTAAGTCAGCATAATGCTTTCCTGCTACAGAAGCAAGAATTTTAAATGCACAGAGAAAATAATACTACCTTTTGTTTGAACTGACTTTTGAGGCTCTGAGGCAGGAGCCCTTATGTCTGTGACCTCACTTGATCCTTAAAGAACTTTTTGAGATGGGAAAGTAGGAGATGATATGATTTCCATGTAATTGATGAGGAAACTGAGAGGGAGGATGGTGTAGGATCATTCATAGCCAGTTGATGCCAATGAAACAGGAACCCAGGTGACCATCTCCAAGATGAAGCATATGGGAGGAAGTAGTGAGGCTTAGTTGTAAATATCCACCTTAATATTAAAGTTCAGATCCCAGAGGCCAAGCAAGCAACTTCATGTATTTTTCCAGGTGTGGGTGGAATGCATACACTTGTACATGATTGTCCCAGGAGCCATGTCCCAGACGGTGTAGTCACTGTTCCTACCCAGCCCTGTCCAGGTCTGAAGACCAACCTACAGAGCAGGAGGGAAGAGGAGCATCTCCCCCTTCTCCACTCTTTCCCCCAACTTATGGCTAAGTGCCCCAACTGTGCATTGATAATGAGAACCAAAAGGGGCTCAACCAAGAGCTTCCTTTCCTATGTACTAAGCCATTGGGCCTTGACAGTCTACTAGACTCCATCAGAATTTTTGAAGAGGATGGACAGGAAGACTGGGAAGCACAAAGCTCAGTGACTCCTTGAGGAGTATGTGAATCCTCTTGAGGATTATATGATCTCATCCCCTTTTCCCCAAAGGAGGAGGCAGTCAATGTAATCATAAAATCATACAGTCAGTGCAGGGAGATGGACGCGGCACTGCTTGAAGTTTTGGGTTGGGGAGCAGACCAATTAAAGAGTTTCAAAGTGCCTTCATGGCTTCACAAAACATCCCTGTCATTTGGATTGGATATTATCCCCGGTTTAGAGATGAGGAAACAGAGGATGTGATTTTCTCCAGGTCACTTCATTAATGACAAAATAGGGGCCTTCTGATGGCAATCTGTGGCTCTTTCTGCTTCTTCAAAAAATGCCCCAGTCTCTAGAAGTTTACTGTCTGCAGGTGGAGGCAGATGATATCCGGATTCATCTGTCCATTCAAAAAATAACTTTCAGGCACTTCCAGACACATGGCTTGACTGGTGATACACGGTTGAGTAAAAAACAGGCCTGTCTCTTGCCTCGTGGAGTTCTCTGTCCTCTGAAGGATTCCAACATTAACCAAGAATCATTAAAACGTAGAACCGTGGCTGAGACACATGCTAAGAAAGGGAAGCATTCCTCAATGCAAGAACCTATGGTGGGGCCTTTGATCTGGTCAGAGGAGGTGTCTGTCCCAAAAGCAGGGATGCTGGAACTGAGACCAGCTAAGCAAACGAGGGAGAGAAGTGTTTCCAACAGGGCCATCATGTCAGGGCTCTGTAATGAGTAGGGCATGGAAGACTGGAAGTGCCAGGACAGTAAGAAAGCTAGAGGGGAGAACAGGAATGTCTACATGGCTGGGGAGGAGGCAGGACCAAGAGGTCCTTGGCCACATTAAAGAACTCTGCCTTGCTAGGCACGGTGGCACATGCCTGTAGTCCCAGCAATTTGTGAGGCCGAGACAGGAGAATCACAAGTTCAAAACACCAGCCTCAACAATTTCGTGAGGCCCTAAGCAAATCAGCAAGATCCTGTCTCAAAATAAAAAAAGCTCTGCCTTTGTCCCTGGAGTCATGGGAAGCCACTGACAATTCCTGGGCTGGTGTTAGAGGGGAAACACTCAGATAGGAAGTGAGTTAGGACAACACATATTTTGATGTCAGGAAATCATTTCTTCAAAATCCTATCTTCTTTTCTTTTAGCAAGCTGAATTATTTCAAATATCACATATAATACTTGAAACAGAATTTTTCATCAAATATAAGAAATAATAATTATAATTTTTATAATTATTATTATTATTTTGTACCAGGGATTGAACCCAGGGGTGCTTAACCACTGAGCCACATCTCCAGCCCTTTTTTATATTTTATTTAGAGACAGGGTCTTGATGAATTACTCAGGGCTTCACTGCTGAGGCAGGCTTTGAACTTGTGATCCTCCTGCTCAGCCTCCTGAGCCACTGGGATTATAGGTATACACTAATGTGCCTGGCTAAGAAACCATGATTATAAGATATTATCATTGTTTTATGTACCATTAAAAAATAAAAATGCCCAACATGGGAAGCCTAATGGGAGACATTAGACACATAAAGTTGTGATAAAATAATGATAGGGTAAATGAGATCTAGGGCTGCTATGAAGGAAGAGAGAGCAAAAAAAAAAAAAAAAAATACAACTCATTCTGGACAATATGTGGGGATGGAAAATCCTCCTGAGAATGGGAGGCCCAGGCTGCTAGTCCTCATGCAGGGTTCCTCTTTGCCACAAGCTGTGTGATATTGAAGAACTTCAAGTATGGAATGTCATGGCCAACAGTCTGAGGCTGGGTGGCCCCACATGACCAGCCAATGCAATCCTCTCTGGGAGCATCTGCCTCTACTCCAGGGCCACAGCAATGATATGACATTGTTGACTGGGAGATGCCTCCTCATTTCTGAGATCCAAAAACATGCATCTTGGAATCAAGGAAAGATGACAAAAACCCTATTTCTCTAACCGAGAGAATTGGTACAAAATGACCTCTACAATCTCTCCAAAGACTTCTCTGCCCTGTCACAGGATGTTGTATACTTGTTTGGCATAGATTCTGCAAATATTAAAGGTCTCTTTGGCCACGTTAACAGGCATTGACCTTCAATGCCAGGCTTCCTGAGGCCAGGATGACTGCCAGTTGAGCAACACAGGGCAGACTTCTGGT